AAAACTGAAGAAAACTCTCTTCCTTAAAAAAACCGCAGATCCCCCTACCCCTTTTCCCCTCCTCCCCTCTCTGCTCCCTCCCTTTCTCCTCCTGGCGTCTCCTTCCGCCCGCGCAAAGTACCACTAAATTTAGAATTTCGGGATTCATGCACAAAATTGAAAAAGTCGCCTTTGCAATTCGCGTTCCCGTTTACGTTGCTCAGCAGCTTCCTGCCTCTCAAGCTCCGCTTGCCGACGTTCCGCATTTTTGGCCTCAATTTCACCAACTTTCTGCTCAATCTGCTCACGACGCCGTAATGTTTTCGCAAGTAGCGCTTCACGCTTCGCTTCCATTTCTGGTGTCTGTAACGTGGCATCTCTAGCAAGCCTTTTTTTTTTTAAAAAAAAAAAAAAAAAACATTAGAAATGATTAAAAAAAAACATTAAAACCGACCACAAGGATTAGCTCCCACGAGTACTAGCATACAAAGCAACAAAATAATTTTATGGCCGGATAATAAAACTGACCACATTGACAACAGGTTTATCCGCTGCATCATCGACAATAAACTGCGAAGCGCGTGCAGCCGACAGCTTCCTCTGTGCTGCTGGTGAATCGGCGCTTGTCGATGAGATTGGATCTTTCGGTGGACTAAACTGATGGACAGGCGGGATTGGTGCTGTCTTATCGTCTTCTGAAGAACATAACAAAAACTATTTTCAGGAAAAATTTAATCAGTGAATGAAGGGACAAGATACTAAGCACGGGAAGGCAAAAAGGAACATCAGTAGGAGGAAGAAATAATAGAATAGAAGGATTGGCCTTAAGTGTCATGTGCCGGAGGAAATTTTACAGTCTCCGTGCGTTTCATCCCTTAGCTGTAAACATAGACTGAGCAGTGTCTGCGGCTAGGAGCGGGAATCATCAGTACAGCCACCCACTTGCCATACAAAAGCTCTGTTTTCAAGAAATCACCCATCCGAAACAAAAAATTTTAAGCTTTTTTCTAATTTCCCAGCCTGCCAAATTAAAAAGTGAGATGCAATAGATGTCTATGCAGTGAATCTTCGAAAATCTTTCTGGAAACTAAGATAAAAATAAGTGGTACTGTACTAAGATATACTGGTTCCTCCCAATAAACTGAACCTCAGCAGTTCAATATAGTGCCCTCTGGGAAAAATACCCTCGAAAAAATGTACTACACAAGCTACCAAAGGAAAAGCTGAGCGAAATTTCAGAGGTATAAACAATGAATATCCCTGGCTAGGGGCTGGAAGAAGACGGGGGCTTGAAATCTTCTACGTGTTAACATATGCAGTTTGTTTGGCATGAACTTCACTGCTAACCCCGATTCATAACAATTTATACCACGCGAGATGGAGAAACCACCAGATGCATCAGTGAGGAGAAAGAAACGTGACGATGAAACAACAGCTGATCAAAATAACTAAGCAAAGAATCTCAAACCCCCCCTCCCCCTCCTCCCAACAATGCCCCTTTTCGTGCAAGCCCTACACAAAATCGAATTGCTCGATTAAGCTTACTTTGCTTGAAATATGTCCCAAAATCATTCTGATCACGTAACTGCTGGGGTTGTTGCTGCTGCTGATGCTGCTGTTGCTGTGTTCGTAATATTTCATGAGTCCTATCATTTTCAGGCGAAGTTATTTGTGATTGTTCCTGCAAAGATTTCTTTGAAATATTATCATCTCAGATCAATACACAAAAATTAATTTATCATAATTTTTGGCAAGGCGAAGGGAGTTTAGCATCCATCTTCTTTTCCCTGCTACTCGCTCCTTCTTCCTTTTGCAACAGGTTGAAACTTTAGGGGAATGTTCCCTGATCATTCGATTAATTGGGCACAGCGCCGTGTACTCTAAAAACAAATCTTTGTCCATCATCTGCCACTCCAAAAACAATAATTTTTGCAAAATGAAATAGAGGATGAATTAAGCCATCAAATGAGAAAATAGAGGCATAAAAATAAATTAATCCGGAAGAAATCTCACCTGTCGTTGATAGAGTGTTGTGCCAGGCATAATTTCAGGCTGATTTACCAAATCCAGCTCACTTTTCGTAAATGTCCCATTCTCCCAGGTACGCCTTTGTGGTCGTGTCATTTGTCCGGCTTTATAGGTGAGACCCCAGTTCGTTAAGTTACGATTTATCTCAAGCGATGGATCCAAACGACTCGAGGATGCCTAAAAACAAAAGCAATAGAACAAATTATGCAAGTTTCTACAAATTCTGGACAACCGTGATTTTTTAAAACAGTTCTAGTTAGGTATTTTACACAGCACATTGGATCGAAACATTTTTAGCCTAGCCGATTAAATCATTTTTTCACGGTTTTGATTTTTTCTATTTTTCTTTTTATGCTTATATTACTCGCTTTATATGGGCTTTTTCCTTAGTTTACAACAATTCTTTTTACTGTATAGAAATTGAATCAATCAGTATCTCTTGTAAATGTTCAATATGTCAAGCAAAAAACTCTTCTTAGCGGTAAAAATCACAAATAACTGGCCAACGCA